GCCATTCTCTTTCCTGTTCGGCCATCTTTGTGCAGTGCAATGATGACTGCAGGTGTTTCTTTAGAGATAACCATGGTTCACAGCAGAGAACCAATGATGCCGAGCAGCAGCCTCTGCTGCGTCATTCTGACTGAATCCTGACAGATTGATCTGCAGCCCTGTCCTCATCACCACCCACACCTGTTAATGGACCAATCACTGAAGCCATGGTAGCTGCTCCTTTAAGGCAGCGCTGCAATCACCATGAAATGTGTTTTAGGGATAAAGTTCATTTTCTAGGCAAATATTGACTTTGCAATTAATTGCTGTTACGCTGATCACTCTTTAGAACATTCTGGAGTTTATGCAGATTGCTGTTATAAAAACTGAAGCAGTTGACTTTGGAAATATTAACATTTGAATCATTCTCAGAACTTTTGGCAGTGACTGTACAGAGTAACAAAATTCACTCTCTGCATTTAACCCCTCCCCTTGGGGAGCAGCTGGCTGCCATTGTGAGGCGCCCGGGGAGCAATCAGGGGTTAAGGGTCTTGCTCAGGGACCCACAGTTGAAGTTTGTGGGAGTGGGGATGGAACTCAGAAGCTCTGGATTCCAAGCTCTATGCTCTAATAGGACGCCCCTCCCCCTACTACTTTAAGTAGTTTTAAAAATGGTACTTTTACACTTTTACCAGAGTAAAAAGTTTAAGTTGATCCTCTAACTTCTACCAAAGTGTTTTAAAGCATTAAGATTTATAGTGGAGTAATAAAGATGAAGACTTTTGACACCTCTAGTCTAAACACATCCTGAAACGTCATATCTCCCCAAAACCAGCTGGAAAACTAAACAAGCCGTTAAATGGAGGAATCAGTAAAAAAAGAATCCCTCCAGAAAAAGACAATTCTTTAGCTTCCTGTACAGCCGGCCGCCGCAGCGGGCCTCCCCAGCCGTCGCAGCGGGCCTCCTGCCGCCGCAGCGGGCCTCCCCAGCCGTCGCAGCGGGCCTCCCCAGCCGCCGCAGCGGGCCTCCTGCCGCCTGCTGCATCAAAGCGACTCTGCAGAGCAGAAACCAGGACTGATCTCTGAATGAAGTGACTTGGAAGCAGCTGATTCACAGGTTTATTAGGAGTTAACAGAATTTACAAAGATGGAAACATTGAGTTTAATCATTTACAGAAGAGGGCAGATATAAAACAGGTGAGACAGGAAGCGGGATGCTTGTTTTTATGGAACGGGTCACTTCTGTCCGAGCTGGGAGAGCTGAGGAGAGGAGAAACAGGCGGTCAGCAGGAGGCGACTAACACACACTCTGAAGACGTGGAATATCTGACCTGTTTCATGAACTGAGCCGCGTTGAAGAGCTCGCTGCAGCCATAAACCACCTTCCTCCCTGGTTTGGACTGAAAGCAAAGCAGAACCATCGTTACACGGATCTTCTAGAAGTTCCCAATCGCTCAGTGTGAAGGAGGTTAGATCTGATCTGATTTAACGTGACGGTTAAGATCAAACTCAATTAATACATTTAATAAAAGATAATCTGAGTTAATTATTAATCCATTTTAAACGCTCCTCTAATGTGGATAATGGTTAGGGTTACGCTCCTCTGGGAGGACTGGGAGGACTGGTTTGGATAGCTGCTTCCCTGGATAAATGAAATCTCTATTTAGGATCTTATTTTTCTAATGACTTGGATGATGTTGGAAATTTAATCTGACACCTGGCAGGGCTGAAACAATTCTGATTGGTCGACTTAATGAGCTGATTTACTCATCAAACTGAATCTGATTGTGAGTTAAAATCCGCTGGTGTTTTTAGCTTCTCTCCAATCGACCATCAAACTCATTCAGGCTTTATAAAGCCGGGAACTAAACGCTATTTCGACATTTTAAATATAAAAAGCTTCCTGGATGGGAAGAGAAAAGTCTTCAAACTTGGAAACAAAGTCCAGTGGATTGTTTTTGAACTTTTTTGGAACGACTCTGACCTGATGACTGAGAATGTTCACCAGCTCAGTATCAAACTGCTTTTCTATCAGTTATTAACCAAATGAATCAGTCAGGTTATCATCAGCTGTCTGTCAAACATTAAACGCTGTGAGGACTGAATCTGTTGAGAGGCAGACCTGAACAGCTGGATCTCCTGCACGGTCAGGACTGGAAGATTATTCTGGACGTTTTAATCGAAGCATTCAGGAGTAGTTTGTATGAGCTGCCAGATTTTTTAGCTCACTTAGATCTGCCTCCTCGCCACTTAAAGACCAAGAAAATCATGTTTTCTAATCATTTTTGGGTGATTTTCTTTCATTTATTCCAACATGATGCGTCTTTTCCAGACGGATGTTTCTCCTGCTGGAGCTTCACCTAAAGTTAAACGCTGCATCATGCTGGGAAAACATAAATTAAATTAAATAGAAATATGAAAGTTTGTTTTCTGTCTACTGTTTTCTCAGGTGTCGTGGAAAATTAAAGTGCAGTTATTGTCTATTGTGGTTTATTATGGAGGTATTCAGTAATTCACTGAGAACCCAAAGCTTAGTTAATATAACATCCCAGCCTCCACTGGTAAATCTATGTGGTCCAACAGCACAAACTATACTAAAAGAATAAAGAATATAGAATATACAGGTGCTGGTCATAAAATTAGAATATCATGAAAAAGTAGATTGATTTCAGTAATTCCATTTAAAAAGTGAAACTTGTATATTATATT